CATTGAACTCCAGGAGGTAAGAACCATGAATGAGGCTGATGAATCAATGGGTCTGAGTCCGTTGTGAATTCATGTCACAAGGATTTATGTTACTTAAAATTCTTTTTACGCTACCCTTAAACGTCACACTCGCAAGGCCAGTGTCTCTTCTCTAGCGGCCAACGTGGCCCAAGGAATGAAGACTCTTGAGCTTTTCCTAGAGGTCTTGTAAAGGTGTTCCCTGTTTTGGGACATGGGTGCGAGAGACTAGGAGTGGCAAACTGAAGAAAAGAGACCAGTTCCAAAGTGGTTTTTCCCTGAGTTGTTCCCATGCCAGCTCAGGATGGGATTCTGTGTGAATTCCTCTGCCGTCCATCTATCCTCCCTCCCTCCCTTCCTTCTATCCATCATCACCTCCTCCCTCCCTCCCTCCTTGTGTGCTCCTTATGTTGTCTGGTCTGACTCCTTTGTAGAGCCTGACTGTGTAGCTACTGGTAGAGGTTGGAAGAGTAGACCTTTGGTCTAGATGGGCGGGGTAGAAATCCAATAAAGTAAAATAATTAAAAAAAAAAAGAGCCCTAGAGGAAGGCCTTTTGGCCAGAGGGGGGGCCCTTTCTTCTCTTGCCCATGGAAGAGGCTGGCCCCCGACCCTGCCAAGAAGTTAACCCTTCGCTTGTCCTTTCAGCGGGACGTCGCCTCTTGCCTGCCTCAATGCCATGCTGCACACCAACTCCCGGGGGGAGGAGGGCATTTTCTACAAGGTCCCGGGAAGGATGGGCGTCTACACACTGAAGGTGAGTCAGCAGAGTGTCCTGGTCTGGATCAGAATAAGCAGCCCTTGGGGACCCTGGGACCGCCGGGAGCCGAGAGTTTCGTGGGGCAGCATGTGGTACAGAGGCACTTTCCCCAGGGGGACTTCAGGCAGCCCTTAAAAGATGTGGGGTGGGGATGGGGTGGGGGCTTCGTGGCACCCACCCACCCCCATGGCAAGAAGGCAGCCTGGGATGGTTCACACGGGCCTCTCTGCCGGGGAGTCGCTCCAGGCACAGGTTCCCTGTAGAACAGGAGTGCCATTTATGTCCACTGGAGTCCGGCTGAGTCCATGGGGCTCGGCACCAGGAATGCAGGATACTGCCTTATCGACAGTATAGCTTGGTCATATCTCTGCCGAGCAACGGCCACGGCTCTGCTGATTTTCAGACAGGTTCCCGAATCTCCCCAGAGGTGCCCAGGGTTTCAACCTGTAGCTCAAATGTGTGTGAGAATGGGCTGTGTGAACCGCAAGCGGGATGCAGAATTCAGCCAAGACCCCACCAAGCATCGACTCTCTCGTAACGCCGCTTGTCTGGGACTTGCCTGGAAGGAAGGGGGCACCCGCCAGGGGAGCGCATTGACCTCCATGGGTCAGAAGGCAACGTCGGTGGTCTCCGCACACCGCGGTGTACGCACACACTTCATAACTGCACGCGGGAGCCTCGAGCTGATATCAGGAAGAATCCTAATCAGATGCAGAAGGTTTCCAGTGAAAACGGGACCAGTGGCCCCTGCCAGCATTCCTCCTGTGAAGACCACAAACCGGTGGAAAACTGTTTCAAAGGCACTGGGTAGAGGAAAAAGGAAAGGTGGTTTTTTTGTGTGTGTGGTGTTGGGAGCAAGATGTGTCGCCAGCCACCTTCTCCAGAGGGAGGCCAGGAAGAGGAGGTGAACCACTTCCCTGAAGAGACGTTCCTTGGAGGTTGGTTGGTCTCTGAGGATGGGAGCCCCCCCTGCTATTTTTGAGCCAGGGAATGGCGTGGAGTATATAGAAATGTAGACCATCCTTTCCTGTCCCTGTACGTGTGTGTTTCTGTTTTGCAGAAGGATGTCCCGGACGGGCTGAAAGACCTGTCTGAAGGCTCGGAGGAGAGCAGCGATGGGCAGTCAGATTCCCCCACTTCGGAAAACAGCAGCATCAGTAGCAGCAGCAGCAGCAGCGGCGGCGACAGGAGTGGCAACAAGGAAGGGCAGAAAAACAGGTGGCGGCGGAAAGGTAGGCGGTCCAGGAGACACCTTCATGGCAGAGGTTTGCCCTTCTCGTCCGCAAAAGGTGTCGTTGCAGCTGCTTATGGGATTATGGTCCCTGACCGCAGCGTCGGTGGTCCTCTTGGCCAATGTGGTGTGCACACTTCCCAGCTTTGTTCAGGAAGCAAAAGCCTGGGCTTTGGAACTACCTACAGCTGTCTAAGCCTTTGTGTGCCCTCTGTGTGCTATTGAAAGTAGAGTTTTCGTGACGTGGGCTCTCTTTGTTTCTGTCTCCTTCCCTCTCTCTTGCTTCCTTTTTTCCCCTCTTCATTGTTGGCTAATGGCCAAGCTCTCTCTGCTTATCCTGTTGCAGATGGAGACATGCTGGAGTTCACTTTGGGGCCAGGATTTCAAAAACCATCTGAATCTAGGTTTTGAGACCCTTGAGGAAAATGACCAGATTCTTCTCTACTTGTGCAGAGTTTGGAAGGTCACCTTACGTTTGGCAGGTGCACAGAGCCTCCTGCTGGCTGACCCATCGCTCCGAGCGCGGGCTGCTGCTGGAGCCTTGACAAGCCTGGTCTTGCTGTCTGCCTTAGACACAGAATGGGGTGTGGGGTCATGCCGCACACCTAGAATAGCGGGATGCACAGCTAATGGGAATGCATGTGGGTTTTATGTGAGCGTCTGTTCTAACTTGCCCTTGTACGGTTAGGAATCATGCAGACAGCAATCATCTTGCTAGGTTGTGGCTTCCATGTCCTCAGATGAATTTTGCAGAAAGCTGTGTCATAAAATGGCCTGTACTGAACGTACGTATGTGTGTTTGTGTACGGCGGTATGTGCTTTCTAAAAATCTGTAGTACCAATTTGAGTTCAAATGGACCATTTAAACGTTGCAGAATTTAGTGTCATTGAACTACAGTGGACTGGAATGAGACATTTTCAGTTACATGACTGCAAAGTGTTTTACTCTGGAAAAGACAAACTGCCCCAAAGTGGAGAGGCTCTAATACTGAGGCAGGATGTAGCACAGCCAGTTAGGGGCTATAATACAAAGTCTGACTACTGGAGCACACCAGAGAGTTTCAGGAGGAGATCAGCCTATGCCATACCAACGGCCCAAAGTCTTTGGCTGTGTTGATCATGAGAAACTATGGGATGTTCTGAAAGAAATGGGTGTGCCTCAGCTTTTGACATTTTGGAGCAGTGGAGAAGCCCTTCTCAAGTTTAGATCCCAGGAAAGGCAAAGGAAAGTGCCAAAGCCGGACTGCGGTTGAAGACAGAATTATGACTACAGAAGAACTACCCGACTTGAGTGTTGATCATGAAGAAATTGATACAATTAGAGATTTTGTGTACCTTGGTTCAGTCATCGGTGCAAACGGAGACTTTGGCTGAGAAATCAGAAGAAGACTGGGAGTCGGAAGGGCAGCAATGAAGGAGCGAGAAAAGACCATCGAGAGTAAGGTTGTCTCCCTGGAGACCAAGGCCAAGATCATCCACAGTCTTGTATTTCCAATCACTATATATGGGTAAAGAAAGTGTCCTTGATTCCCCCAAGAGTCCTACAGAGATACATAGACACCCCTGGCAAAGATCAGAAGCCTTTTTTTGTTTTGTTTTGTTTTTTGTCACAGCTGGCCTTTACCCTAATTAAGGGTTGATCCCAGAATGAAAGCAAATAAATCACAGACAATTCATATTAAAGTTCATCTGAGTACCAAGATATAAGTCTTTTCACTGCTGCGATCCTTCCAGACAGCATCAGCTTGCCTATTAAATTAAATAAATTAAATAAATAATTAAATAAATAAATAAATATCTGTCGACCTTTATTTATTTACATGATTTCTAGGTTCCATATGGACAAAATTACTTCAGAGTTGTACTGGGAGAAAATAGATTCATTTGAAAGGCGCTGCTAGAGGGAAGCATGGCAGATACCTTGGACCGCCAGAAAGACAGACAAGTGGGTCCTAAATCAAGTCAAGCCTGAACTTTTTTCTGGAAGCAAAAATGCTAACGCTGAGCTTATCCTACTTGGTCACATCCTGAGAATGAAGGATTCTCTGGAAGAGACAATAATGCTGGGAAAAGTGGAAGAAAAGAGGAAGACCAAATACAAGATAGGCTGACTCTCAGTCTAAAGGAAGCCGTAGGCTTGAGGGCACTTGGAGGCGGGACATTTTGGAGGTGGCTCATTCACGGGGTCACCGTAAGTCGGAGGAAACCTGATGGCATATACAGTAACGGCAAACAAAATTGGTCTTATGTGTGACATTTTGGAGAAACGGAGAAGCCCTTCTCACATTTTGATCCTGGGAAAGGCAAAAGAGGAAAAAGCTGTGCCTTCTATTATCAGAGAGAGGAAACTTTCCAAGGTCCAGTGCCCTTGCTAGCAGTGGGCGTGCAGGGCGAGCCCCCCTCGAGGGTGAGCGATGGCCAGTATCTGTCGTGAAGCCCCAGTGCCTCTGAAGTTCCTTTGCAGAGAGAGAGAGAGAGAGAGAGATTGAGAGAGAAGGAGTTCATGGTCCAAGTCGTGTTGGCCATCACTTACCCCTCTTGTTTTGTGTGGTCAGGGGCTGCTTAATCATTTCTCAGATGTGTAGCCAGAGGGAGTTTGAATAGTGCACATTTCTAGGAAATGTGAAGATTCTTTGTGTGTGCTCATCTGTGACTCATTTCCTGCAAAATCTAATTCCTAGTAAGCATGTGAATTGAGAGAGGGTGAATGAAAAGCCTGGGAGAGCCCAGACCGCATCTGACTCATGACGCTGGGATTGTGAAATGACTCTTCAATTCAGCCTCCTATCAAATGTCCCCGTCCTCAGGGTGGATTTGTAGTGCAGTGGTCTGGCCGGGGTTGCTAAAGAAAAGGTTGCAATAACCAAGCATGGTCTGGGTTTGTCGCACCAAGGCCTGCGCTGGTCTGGTCTGGTCTGTGCGTAGCAGTTGCTACTGTGAAAGTGACCCTCCTGGAGGGGAGGGTGGAATTAAAAGGACATGCCTGGGTTTTTCCTGTGGGGAGGGGGGGAAAGCACAAGGGGGTTGGCGCCTTGGCAATACCTGTGGTTCTTGGGAGGAGGCAGCTCCTTCCGTTGGGGCGAGAGGGGTGGAAGCCGAAGGGAGAGGCCAGCGCTGGCGCGGTCTGCGGACTGGCGCAGCTCTCGGAAGGCACAGGGGTTGCCACGGTGGGCGAGCGCCTCACGAATGCCGTGCTGAGACTGGGAGCTGGCGCCCAGCCGCCTCTTCATCCCTGCCCGCTTGAAGTGACCCAGACCTAGGGGGAGGGCACTGGTGACACCAAGAGGAGGGAGGGCTAAGAGCTACGTGGGGAACACTTTGCCCCCCCTCCCCGCCCCCCCAAGCTAGGCCAATTTCGGTCTGGCTGTAGAATTGTTTCTGGGAACCAAAGTGTTGTGTATGCAGAAGATGGGTGAGGATTCCCTTTAGAGCCTTAAATGGTCGGGAATTCCAGCTTTAGTGCCAGTCTGCGCCATCCTGCCATGTCGTACAGAGGCGATGATACTGGCCTACATGGCAGGGTGCTTGTAAGTATGGCTGGGAGGCCATGTGCGAGAGGGGAATCCTACCCTTGGCTCAAGGGTCTGCAAACATGTTCCATTCTGCGGCTTCCCGAGCTTTTTCTCTCTCTCACCTTGGGTGGAGAGTGAGCCACGCAGGGCCTCAGTCCTGCTGTCAGTGAGAAATCTAATCCCTGTGCCGTCTGCGTGGCCTCTGAAATTTCATCCGGTAGCCTTGCCTGGAAACATGTTTCTCTCAGAATGAAAGTGAAAGGAACAGGGTGCTAAACCACAGCACACCCGTATGCGCGATGCCTGGAGGGGAGGGTGGAATGAAAAGGACCTGCCTGGGTTTTCCCTGTGGGGAGGGGGGAAAAGCACAAGGGGGTTGGCACCTTGGCAATACCTGTGGTTCTTGGGAGGAGGCAGCTCCTTCCGTTGGGGCGAGAGGGGTGGAAGCCGAAGGGAGAGGCCAGCGCTGGCGCGGTCTGCGGACTGGCGCAGCTCTCGGAAGGCACAGGGGTTGCCACGGTGGGCGAGCGCCTCACGAATGCCGTGCGGAGACTGGGAGCTGGCGCCCAGCCGCCTCTTCATCCCTGCCCGCTTGAAGTGACCCAGACCTAGGGGGAGGGCACTGGTGACACCAAGAGGAGGGAGGGCTAAGAGCTACGTGGGGAACACTTTGCCCCCCCTCCCCGCCCCCCCAAGCTAGGCCAATTTCGGTCTGGCTGTAGAATTGTTTCTGGGAACCAAAGTGTTGTGTATGCAGAAGATGGGTGAGGATTCCCTTTAGAGCCTTAAATGGTCTCCTTCTTGGACTATATCCTGTCCCTTCGTGAAGCTCAGAGGAAGGGACACGTCCCAACCTGCATATCTCACTTTGTGCCAGTCTTCGGTAGAGTCGTATTTCAAGAGAGATAAAAAGGAATTCTTCCCAGTGGCTCCAGCCAGGTTGCAGAGCCCGCTTTCTGTGGGTTGATGGGATTGCTTCGATTCAAGTAGGTTTTTGTTGAATGTGGCAGATCAGGGGGCCCCCTCCACCCGGCCCCCCCTCCACCCCAGTTTTGGTCTGTTCTGCTGAACCAGTTTCCCTGGCTGACTTTTTAATCTTGTTTTTAGGGGGCGGTGATGTTTTTAAAATGTGGTGAACAAGTCTTGAGTGGTGTGTTTGCACCAAAGAGAAGGATACAAATGTCTTAATGAATAAAACAAACCACCCTGGGACTCCTGCAAATTTATGTTCCCGGGGTCCATGTGAGTCTGGAACCCCCATAACGGGTGCTGAGTAGAACAGGGAGTCCCCTTGGGAGACACGTTCTGTCTTTTGTGGGGAGGTGTATTAGTAGAGTTCAGTTCAACAGCAGTTTGAAAATGGCTTGTTTCCCCCCCCCTCCAAAGGGAAGAGTGGAGACGGGCTCTTAAAGGCCTGAAGGTTGTACAGCCCGGAACTGAATACTTCCTTTGTTGTTGTTTGTTTGTTTGTTTGTTTGTTTGTTTGTTT